GAGGGTGATGGCTGTATTCAATTATGTCAATTGTGTAATGGTTTCACAGAAATATATGTAAAATTCTTTATGCACAATAGTGGTACTGGCATAAGGTTAGACATATTGGTAACTAGAATAGAATTGAGAGTTCAGAAATAAACCTGTGCATCTACTATCATTTGGTTGTTGTAAAGCATTCCAAAATAATTTAATGGGGATAGAATAGTCTTTTTAACAACTATGCTAGTCAACAGGAGATTCACTTGTAAAGAATGAAATTGGACCGACCCCTACCTCACATCATATATAAAAATTAACTCAAAATGGATCAAAGACTTAAATGTAAGAAATAAAATCATAAAACTCTTAGAGGTGAACATAGGTGTAAATCTTTGTGACTTTGGATTAGCCAATGTTTTTATACATATAAAACCAAAGCACAAGCAATGAAAGAAAAAGATAAATTAGTATCAAAATTAAAGACTTGTGTGCATTAAAGAATGCAATCAAGAAAGAGAAAAGACAACTTATAGAATGGGACAAAATATTTCCAAGTCATGTATCTGACAACATACTGGTATCCAGAACATATAAAGAACTCTCCTATAGGATGTTAGGGCAATCTAGCTTCAACATCTGTCACCCCATTGATCGCCAGGGTTGACTTGGCTGATCTGGCTTGCTAGGCAAGTATCCCCTTCCTCTCTCACTGCTCCATGTATGTCCCTCCAGAAACTGCATGCCTTGTTGAAAAGGATGACCATCCCCAAGAAAGGAGGACCAAGGTCAAGGATATACGAGTAGCTGTACTCCCTTGCCAGAACCTCCAAATAAGCTCTCAAGGACTCTCTCCTTATATAACTCAATAGCAAAGGAAAATAACCAGTTTACAAAGTGGCCAAAGGATTAAAATAGACATTTAAGTATGCTTATTTCTATTTTCCATGTTTATTATTTTTTAAATTTCACTTTAAGTTCTGGGATACATGTGCTGAATGTATAGATTTTTTACATAGGTATACATGTGCCATGGTGATGTGCTGCACCTATCAACCTGTCATCTAGGTTTTAAGCCCCTCATGCATTAGGTATTTGTTCTAATGCTCTCCCTCCCCTTTCCCCCACCCCCAACAGGCCCCAGTGTGTGATGTTCCTCTCCCTGTGTCCATGTGTTCTTATTTTTCAACTCCCATTTATGACTCAGAACATGCAGTGGTTGGTTTTCTGTTCCTTTGTTAGTTTGCTGAGGATTATGGTTTCCAACTTCATACATGTTCCTGCAAAGGACATGAACTCATCCTTTTTTATGGCTGCATAGTATTACATGGTATATATGTGCCACGTTTTCTTTATCCAGCCTGTCATTGATGAGCATTTGGGTTGGTTCCTAGTCTTTGCTGTTGTAAGTAGGACTGCAGTAAACATACATGTGCATGTGTCTTTATAGTAGAATGATTTATAATCCTTTGGGTGTATACCCAGTAGTAGGATTGCTGGATCAAATGGTATTTCTGGTTCTAGATCCATGAGGAATTCACCACACTGCCTTCTAAATGGTTGAACTAATGTACACTCTCACCAACAGTTTAAAAGTGTTCCCATTTCTCCGCATCCTTGCCAGCATCTGTTGTTTCCAGACTTTTTCATGATCACCTTTCTAACTGGCATGAGATAGTATCTCATTGTGGTCTTGATTTGCATTTCACTAATGACCAGTCATGATAAGCTTTTTTTTCATATGTTTGTTGGCCACATAAATGCCTTATTTTGAGAAGTATCTGTTCATATCCTTCACCCACTTTTTGCTGGAGTTGTTTGTTTTTTTCTTATAAATTTGTTTAAGTTCCTTGTAGATTCTGGATATTAGCCCTTTGTCAGATGGGTCGATTGCAAAAATTTTCTCCCATTCTGTAGGAATAGAAACTCTGATGATAGTTTCTTTTACTGTGCAGAAGCTCTTTAGTTTATTTAGATCCCATTTGTCACTTTTGGCTTTTGTTGCAAGTGATTTTGGTATTTTAGTCATGAAGTCTTTGCCCATGCCTATATCCTAAATGGTATTGCCTAGGTTTTCTTCTAGGGTTTTTATGATTTTGGTTTTACATTTAAGTCTTTAAATAGAGATTTAAATATGTTTATTTAGAGATTTAAATATGTCTATTTAAGTAGACATTTATATATGAAATATGTCTATGTAAATAGACATTGTATGTGTTAGCCACTTACGTATCTTCTGTGATACACCAATGTCCAATAAACACATGAAAAGATGCTCAGTGCCATTGGTCATTAGGAATAGCAAATCAAAACCTCAATGAGATACCACTTCATACTCACTGTGATGGCTGTAATAAAAAAGATTGACAATGACAAGAGTGGATGAGGATATGGAGAAAACGGAACCATGATATACTCCTATTTGGAATGTAGACTACTGTACCAAGTTTTAAAACAGTTTGGCACGTCATCAAGATATTAAACAGAGTTAACGCGTGACTCAGCAGTTCCACTCCTAGATATATACCCAAGAGAACTGAAAACATATGTCCAAACAAAAATGTATACAAATGTTTATAATAGCATTTTTATAACAGCTGGAAAGTGGAAACAACCCAAATGTCCATCAGTTGACAGATGAATACCCCACATATTGTAAATTCATACAATGAAATATTATTTGACTGTAAAAAGCATTGAAGTCTCAATACATGTCACAACATGATGGACCTTGAAAACATTGTGCTAACTGACAGAAGCCAGACACAAAAACCTCATAATATGTAATTTTACTTTTATGATATATCCAGACTAGACAAATTCATAGAGACAGAAAGTAGATTATTAGATACATGGGGATTAGGGGAGGATATGAGGACAGTGTGTGAAATAATCAGCTAAAAATCAACTAAGTGGCAACAGAGTAGAACCATGTATATAATTGACAGAATTAAGGCTCCCCTAAGATTTATGTTCATAACGTTAAAATGAAAAAAACAGTCAATGTGGAGTGTGTGTGTGTGTCCTGTACTCATGGAACTCAGCCATATTGAATTCCATGAGAACAAGTGCAAATATTGAGATTTAATCAGGACTATGACTTTGGTAAGAAAGTGCAACTAAGTGAGAGAAGAATAAGACAGTTGGGAGTATATTCAAAAGAGTAACTATTTGGGAATGAATACATCAAGGGATGAGGGACAATGAAATAGTGGTGGAATCAGTTGATTGGAGGTTCCAAGGAGTCAAAGGATATTGATATCTGAGGACTCAGTGGAGTGTGCCAAAAATGAAGAAGTGGTCAGAGAATGGGACCATGAAATTGAAAATATAAAAGACTTGGTCTAGTACATAACCATTTATTTAATAGCTTAGATAATATGATAGGCCAGGTTATTTAAGGAAGGGATTCCACAGAACTAAGGGTGTCAGAAGGAACAGTTAGGTTCTTCTTTCTTTGATTAATGTACTTTATGTTTTTAGAGCAGTCTTAGGTTTTCAAAAAAAAAAAAAAAAAGCAGAAAGTACAGGTACTTTTCTTATTTCTGGGCTCTTTATTCTGTTCCATTGACATATTTCTTTTGCCAATAGCACACTGTCTTGATTACTGTAACTTTATACTTAGACTTCAAGTCTGGTAGTGTTAGCCCTCTGACTTTATTCTTCTTCAGTATTGTGCTGTATATTCTGGATCTTTTCCTTTTTCCCTAAACTTTGGAATCAGTTGGTCAGTCTCCACAAAATAACTTGGTAGGGTTTTGATTGGGATTATGTTAAGTCTATAGATAAATCTGGGAAGTATTGATATCTTGACTATGTAATCTTCCTGTGAACATAGAATATCTCTTCATATATTTCAGTGTTCTTGGATTTCTTTCCTCAGAATTTTGTAGTTTTCATTATGTTGAGAAACATGTTTTATTAGATTTATACTTAAGTATTTCTCTTTTTTGGTGCTGATGTAAATGGTATGTTTGTTCATTGCTGGTATATAGAAAAGCAGTTCACTTTTGTATATTAACTTTGTATATTGTAACATTGCTAAAATTGCTTATCAGTTTCAGAAGTTTTTTTCCCTTGATTATTGGGATTTTCTGCATAAAAAATCCTGTTACCACAAACAGGATTTTTTTTCCCTTCCCAATCTATATACCTTTTCCTTTTCTTGTTTTACTGCATTTGCCAGGACTTCCAGTATGATGTTTAATAGGAATATTGAGAGAAGAACCTTAAAATTGTGAATCTTGGAGCTCATGTAGGACAACCATTACAAGTACCCTGCATACTCTTGGAGAGAGAGGAACATGCCTTTGCTCTTGAATATAAACAGATCTTCTCTGGAGAGAAGAAGGGAAGGACTCTACCACTGGAATATAAACAAATCTCTCCAGGGAGGATTTGTCTGATTCTTCCCAGAGGTCTCTGAACTTACTAGTCCGGTTGGCCAGTTAGACACCCATTAACCCAGATGGTTTAACTATTCTGTGCAGTTTAACTCTCCTAAACATAAAATATTTCAAACTATTTGTTGTTCATTTAGATCTTATATTCCAATGCTATCTTTACTTAGAAAACTCTGAGCATTCAGAAATGTGAAAATATTCATGGATCATTGTTTCCAATGGGGAGGTGAAAGTTCACCTCAGAATCCAGAGAGTGTGGTGGTGACCGACATAAACAGTAATTGAAGGCATAATGTGAGCAATAGAGGCAGATAGAGGTAGTGAGGCTGCCCATTGTGGGAATTATTGAATGGCAACTTTTTGTACCTCCCTCTTCATCCTTGTTCCCAGGGGTAGAGTCTAGAAGAGATGTAGGTATATTCCAGTTCATGGATTCATTTATGACACAAGATGATTGGATCACCATAGGTATTTTAAGCTTTAAAGTATAGTGAAATCTCAGAATTGCGTATGTTTTTATGATCTGTTTACAGTCTAAATGATGTCTTACCTCATGTGGCTTCTTTTCCTCTGAATCTGCATTTTATACCTGTATGATTAAATCACATTTTTCTGTAGGATCTCCCCAATAATATGATTTACCAAGTTGCCATTAAGTCTCTTCCTCAAGACTGGCTGTGGTGTGAAACCTGGTGTGATGATGAATCCAAACAAAGAGCCAAAACAATTGATCTGGTGAGTGTCTTTGTTTTCATTTGTATGTAACCAGATATGGAAATGTTTAAATAGAAATATTTTCTTGGCCAGTTGCCTTGGCTCACGCCTGTAATCCCAGCACTTTGGGAGGCCGAGGTGGGTGAATCACAAGGTCAAGAGCTCAAGACCAGCCTGGCCAACATGGTGAAACCCCATCTATACTAAAAATCCAAAAAATTAGCCGGACATAGTAGCAGGTGTCTGTAATCCCAGCTACTCGGGAGGCTGAGGCAGGAGAATCACTTGAACCTGGGAGGCGGATGTTGCAGTGAGCTGAGATTGTGCCACTGCACACCAGCCTGGGTGACAGAACAAAATTCTCTCAAAAAAAGAAAGAAAAAGAAAAGAAAAAAAGAAAGAAAAAGAAAGGCTAAGAGCTAGCTGAAAATGTTCATGGATTAGCTGTCATCTTGACATGTCATCAGTTGAGTTCTCCTGCCAATATTTTCCCTCAAATAAAGGCAACCAAGACAGTTTTGTTTACTTATATCATAATGTTTTTTTTTCTCATTTTTAAGAGATTATTTTTCTTAGATTCTCATTTAAAGAAGTTTATTCTGTGCAGTTTAACTCTCCTAAACATAAAATATTTCAAACTATTTGTTGTTCATTTAGATCTTATAGTCCAATACTATATTGTCTTTAGTAGGTATAATAAGTGTTTTCCTACCATATTGTTTTAAATGTGCTAAGTGCAGAAATTTGTTTACAAGATCTTCATGAAGAATGAGCTATTAAAATGTTAGAATTCATACAATTTTGAACAAAAAAGGGCAAGAAAACAAAATATAGGAACTTTTTCAAATATGTGTAGAAATATATGTTTTAAAAGTAGTGTGCCAGCATGTTAGAATGCAATCCTAGGTGGTAGAATATAGCATAAACAAATACAGTGGCATTTTTTTCAGAGGGAATTCCATAAAGAGAGGCCAAGAACATTATTGAATATAACTATTAATATGTTGTTAGCGTTCTGTTGTGACTCATACAATAGTGATATAGGTCACTTTGGGATCTTTAGTATTTAGATTAACATGAGCTACCAAAACAAACCCCCAAAATTTAGTGGCTTCATACTCATTCCAGCGACAGACCTAAGTGAGTATATCTCCATCAGAGAGTAGCCCTCCTGCATGCCATGTCTCAGGGAGTACTTTTTGTCCATCTGTGACTGCTCCTTCCAGTGCAGCAGTTACTTGCCACATGCTGTTGAGCCCTTAACATGTTGCTAGTCTGAATTGAGGTGTGCTGTAAGGCATAACGTACACACCAGATTTTGAAGACTCAGTACAATGAAAATAACATATATCTCATTACTAATAATTGTATTGATGACATGTTGACTTAGTATTTTGGATATGCTGGGTTAAATAAAATATGGCATTAAAATTTATTTCACCTCTTCCTTTTACATTTTTATACATAGTTACTAGAAAAATTTAGTGTTTTTCTAGTGAAAAAAAAAAACTCAGCAAATTACATATGTGGCTTTTGTCATATTTCTATTGGATAGTGCCGATCTGGAGGGAAGGGGAAAAAAGTGTGGAGAACACATCTTGAATCCTAAAGGCATAGCTCATTGTGGGAGCTGGTCACATGGCCATATCTAGCTGTAACAGGAGCTGAGAAATGTCATTCCTGGATGAACAGCTACTTCCTAGCAATAGCACTACCCAGGAAAAGGGGAAGTGGCACACATGTCAGTGTTCAGCCTGTCTCTCTTGTAGAAACACTAAAAGTAGAATGAGAGAATATGCCATTCTTCATGGGGGAGAAAAGAGAATGCAGAAAATTCCCAAGGAAATGGCCTAACAGAGGAAAAGAGCTTGATTAATAATATTGAAGGTGGGAATGAAAATGTTTATGAATGTCACTATAACCTCTCAACTTTTCATTTCAACCAGAGTTTTTCAGCCTCAGCACTATTGGCATTGAGGGGTGAATTCTTTGTTATGGGGGTTGTTCTGTGCATTTTGAGGTATTTAGCAGCATTCCTGGTCTCTGTCCACTAGATGGCAGTAGCACCCCACCACTCCCCAGCCATCACAAATATTCTCCAGACCTTGCCAAAGTTCCCATGTGGGGTATAATTACTCAGTTAAGAACCACTAATAAAGCTTATAGCCTGCATGCATGCACGCACACCTGCCCACACACACACAAAACACTGTAGCACAAAAAGCTAAAGAAAACATAGTATTTTTATTTTTTAATAGTTTGACATAATTAAAAAAAAATTAGTTCCATTATCTTCACTGTATAGAAGACATTGCCTTATTATAAAGTTAACTTCTGCTAAGGAAATTGTGTTTTCCACTTACCTGAGAAATATGTCACTATGGAAAAGAAATCCATAAGGAATCAACTGAAAATATTTGGTGAGGAAAGGATTAAGACAACAGGCTCATGGCTCATGACTAACAGCTTTCCCCTAAGCAGTAAGAGGAAAGCAAGTGGAAAAAATGTGACCAGAAGTGATCAAGTTGCTTCCTGCCTTAACGCTTTGTAAATAGCAAATGGGCGTTTTTTTTTTTTTTTTT